TTTATTGCACCGCGACCACTTTCCGAGCACAAAAATGAGTATACAACCCCAGGAGGAGGGACCACGACCTGAGCCTGCCCGAGCCCACCACCCCGGGCAGGGGGCCCAAAGCCAAAAGGCTTCAGCCCCAGGTGGGGGGGCCTGTAACCTGAGCCCTGCCACTCAGGGCTGAAGCCTTTGGGCTTTGGCCCCGGCCCTGGGCAGTGGGCTTGGTCTTCAGCCCCAGGCCCCAGCAAGTCTAATGCCAGCCCTGGCGACCTCATTAAAACGGGGTCGCGACCCACTTTGGGGTCCTGGACCCACAGTTTGAGAACAGCTGGACTAAAGCAAACCCCTCTTTGGTGGTCTGTGTAATACATTCCCATACTGTTGTCCATCAGAATTAAAACAGATTCAGATTTTATGAGGGGAGAAAAGCCATGCAAGTCAGAGAAACAGCTCTCAGCTCTGGTACCTTTATGTGGAGCCACATCTCCCATTGAGATCAAAAACCTTGGAGTGGATGGAAATCAAGGTGAATAATCCCTTATACCTTCTAGGACTATTACTGTATGTGGCAGGAAAAGAAGGGAACTCCCTGGAGGACATGTTCTCCCCCATCTTACGAAATAAAGCATCTGAAATGTACTGAGACATTGTGGCTCAGGTGTTCCTAATGTCAATAAAAACTGGTAAAGTAATGAAGAGCCATGCTGAGGCCACAGATATAGCCTGGTATTAGAGCTATCATGTAACTGCACCAGTAAGGAAAGTGTGCATTTTAGGAAAGTTTGGAGGTCTGGAATATATCAAGGCTTCAGTGACCACGTCTTCTAAATAGTACGAAAATAGCCTTGTTTATGCAAATTATTAGGGAGAACTATGTGGACACTCTATTGAGGTTCAGATCTACACACAAAGAGACACCCAACCATTCAGGAAGAATAATTATGACAGTCAGGAATTTAATGGAACACCTGCTGCCATAGAAAGACCAAGGGGTAAGGTACAGTTTAGTTTTATTGACAGAGGTCAGCTCTGACTCCACAGGTATGTGTAAAGAGACAAACGTGACTAAAGTACAGAAGGGGACTCTTACATTTCTAATTTTCAGAAAGCGCTCTGTCTCTGGAACCCAGAGCCAAATACAATGAACCTCACTGTCCACATTATATGATAGGTAGCAAATCTCATTCACATTGTGGCCAGGAAACAAACCACATTCACCATTAAGTGTAGATGATGGCTGTCTCAATCATTAGGAGCAACTGTTCCTGCCAAGACTGAAGAAATCAAAGCTATGTATACTGAGACCTTATGAGATGCTGGGCCAAATGCTCCATTGAACCCATGTGGTCCTTGGTTCCAAAGAAGGCTTAGTAAAGCTAAGGATGAGTGCCCCTCTGTGTTTCTACTACACATAAAAGGGACTACCAAAGACACTACCCAAACCCAGACACTGTCTTCCATAGTGGAGCCAGAAGCACACCTGGAAAGTCTCCTTCCTGGCTTAGAACCACAAACTAATTATAACTGATGGTAGGTAACCCAGAGACCAATAATATGCTAACAAAATTTCCTCCTATGAGAGATCAGAGGCACAGATCCATTGGCATGTTTATGATGTCTGATTCAAGGAATATCAAAGTGGTTCTCATAGCCTGTCATATCAAGCTCTAAATCTGAAATAGGACATACAGCACTTTGTATCTTCTCTGCAATGCACCTTTTAATTCTCTGAAGGATTCCAGGTATCCTGTTGTCTTTGCATTCAAGGGTCTATAGATGGTCCTTATTGGAGCATCAGATGGATCCTGTGACACCATATCTCCTACAGAGGCTGTGTAGCAAAGAAGTCTTCAGATCCATGAATTTCAAAATCAACAGAACTGAGATGGGTATAGTACCCTCCCATCCCATGAGATTCTCCGAACCTGGCATCAGTTCTTAGCCTGTCAGATTCATAAATCCAGTCCAGGGCAGCTGAATGAGCCCTTAGGGATGGGATGGGAGCACAGGAGAACCTCAACAGTTCATA